CATTACTATGCACAAATTAGCTGGACACTCAATATAGTCAACATTCCATGAATCGGAAATTGTATCTAACAAACTGTTCTTAATTATGTAAACCTCTAACAAAGACGAGGTTACAGAAGGTCAATAAATTATGACATTCTTACTATGTTAGCGTACACAATACACAAATTGAGACACCGTAATACTTTCTATTGTCAGTGAATTATTGGAGTTTTGGTTGCATCTGACTTTTTTTATGGCATAAGCCGGTTAAAGAGCGGACGGATCACCTGATGGTGAGCAATTGGCGTCACCCATGGACACCTGGAACACCAGAGGCGATACAAGTGCGTTACCGGCCTTTTGGGGATTAAGAGTTTGAGGATCGTTGGGGATATTGGGGAAGGGGAGGGTAATTGGGCCTCCGGTAACCTCACTCACACGACGAAACACACAACGCAAGCGTTTCTTCGCGTCGGTTTTCTGTGAATATGTAATTGACCACACAACACGAGTTTAAAGTGTTATTTAATAACGCTTGGGACATCGATGATATTATTGTATCAATGTCACTCAATTGTTTAGGCCAAAGAGATTTAAATTAGAACGACATACTTACTTTTTTATGGGACAAGCCGGTAAACGATCAAACGGATCACTTGATGGTACAATCAGCGTCGCCTATGGATGACCGGAACACCGGCGGATAGCGACTTGAGACACCGTAATACTTTCTATTGTCGGTGAATTATTGGAGTATCGGTTGCCTCTGACTTTTTTTATGGCTTAAGCCGGTTAACGAGCAGACGGATCACCTGATGGTAAGCAATCGGCGTCGCCCATGGACACCTGGAACATCAGAGGCGTTACAAGTGCGTTACCAGCCTTTTGGCGGAGTTTGAGGATCGTTGGGGATTCAAGAATTGGGGAGATTGGGGAAGGGGAGGGTAATTGGGCCTCCGGTAACCTCACTCACACGACGAAACACAACGCAAGCGTTGCTACACGTCGGTTTTCTGTGAGGCTGTGGTATCACTCTGGTGGAGCCGGCCCATTCGTGCCGAAGCATGGCTCTTCCACACTTAAATGACTGACTTGCTTCGGCAATTCTCAAATTAATTCCCTAGTGAGAATTAGTTGTTTCCCAGTTGAAAAATTGTATTAATGATTTAGTGGCAAACTATTGGGTCTACTTTAGTCAGTTGGAGGTACATGGTGATCCCGCATTCCAAATCCTCAAATTCCCCATTGCTTATCATCTAGCGACCATTTTCCTCATTTGCCGACCGATTCCATTAAAAAGTGATATCCTGATGTCCTATTTGTCTTATATCTTTTTATTGTAATACTACTGTTTTAGTACATTAATTGCACATTCCTCAGTGCGCAAAGTGATCCAAATGACTTTGTAGAAATAATAAAATAAACTTGGGTAGGTATATACCTAAGTATATTATAGGTACGATTATGATCTTGTACATTCATGATCACTTGTATATAAGAATTGACATCCATTAGCAGAGTTGAAAAGGATTAAATCTATGACCTTCTGTGTGTAAACAAACATGCATTATACAGGTACCTATGGTTTAAAACATACTTCAATAATGACACGAACACGAACGCCTTGTTAGTGCAGTGGTCGCTATTGCGACTGCCGACTATTCTGTAAGATGTCAATTCGAACTCTTCGAAGAGAGCTCGATCGTGGTCCGCCATGTAATTGCTTGTGAAATTAATCTCGACCAATGACGGGCGAGAATGCCGCAAGCGGCTACGGCAACGGCTCATTCGTCAGATGTGGACGCACCCTTACAGAATAGCCTAGCAGGTTCGATTCCTGAGTCGGTAAATTTTTAAGGACTAATTCCTTTTTTCGGTTTTTTGGATATTTCTCAGTAATAGCAACTGATTCATTAGGTTGTTAGTGAAAAGTTCGTGTTACATTATTACAGGTTCACCTCTGCTTATCCCATCTAAAATAGAAGGCACTATGAAAGCTCCTACAACAATACAAGACACACTTGCATATGAGAACGAGATACGACACGACAATGAATGTATGTATGAGAAAATTACTATATAGGCATTTCATATCGAACGCGATTCTCGTATGCATAAGTAGTTAATTCAGTCCGTTTGTTTGTCAATCAGCAAGTTGTAATATTATGGGAAATTACTTTTTGTATGGGGATGCTAAAATTCTTCTAGTTCCACATTAACACATTACTTTCATGGTTATAAGATAAAGAGATAGAATTTTAAAAAGGCTGTAGTGAGATTGTTGAGTGACCATAATACGTAGATTTTTAATATGTACTTAGATTTTTTATTTCAGATTCTTATTTTATGTTTTAATTTTAAGTATTTCTTAGTTTTTATTTTACTTACCAATTATCACAAATACTGAAAAAGTGTCATCATTAGGCTACTGTGCATGTTGTGACACCTTAAAATGTTGTGCATTTAAAATTTATTACAATGTAAGTGCTTAGATATAAGACCTAATGTAGCAACTACTGGTTGTCTAAATTATAAATAAATAAATAAATAGTTCAGATGGTTCTAAGCTTAGCAGGTCAAATGGATGCGCTTGCAAATTTCTGATGTCGTTCGATTCTAGTGGCGGGCAGTGATAATTTGAACACTATCTTCAAAATTTCTATCAAAACTCGTCGAATTAAGGTACTTCTAGATTTGGTAAATACAAAGGAACTCTGGTCTTCGTCTACATCAGCCTTCACAAGGTTCAGTGCTTTTTATTTATTTACTGGTTGACGCGGCAAACATCGTACCGCTAGAATTTTTTTCTTACGTTTTAAACCTTCCCTGGACTTCTACGACAATTTCAAGACCAAAATTTGCCAAATCGGTTCAGCAGTTTTCGAATTTTAGCAAGATTATCGAACAGAAATTCATTTTTGTTTATATAGATTTAAGTGTAACTCAATTGTATAAGGAGAATTTAATTCTAACAGCATTCCCTGTCGGCTGCCAGTCATCCTTAGGGTAGTCCAGAAATGTGGTGGGTGGTAAGCTGTAAAAAGGTTATGAGAGGTAGTGGTAAATACCGAAATGAAATAAAACAAGAAACAATTCTCATTACATATAAAATTTAATTATCAAGTCAAAAGGTAAACTCATCATATCACTAATAACAAGAAATATACAGAGTTGAGAGAGTAGACACCAATACAATCATAGTTGACTCTTATTGCCATGGCATACAGTTTAAAGTACTTTAGCAAATTAAACCATAAAACTAGTTTATCATTTGGCTGCTTCGTAGTAAGCGAATGCCTACAAATAAGGCCAAAATACAAATACAATGGAAGCCAAAATAGAAAATATCAATTTTTAATTTCTAACAATCCGATACAATATTTTTATTGCTACATTAATAACTGATTATTAAATAATAATATTACAATATATGAACATTTTAAAACTACTAAATAGACTTACAGTATGGTAAGGCCTCTTATATTCAAAATCGTAAAATTGATGACGAAATTCCTCGTCATAAACGCTTTGCATTTTAAAGAAATGTCAAAAATAACTGTACATACTAACCGTTCCTAACTTCACTTCATACCAGCTGTCATTCACGATGCACAGTTCATTGCTAACTTCATGTCATACTTGTCTCTCATGCACGATTTTAGTTCTACCTAAGTAAGGCCTAATAGCACGACAATTCACTTAATATAATTACCGTTAAACTAATAATAATGGAAATATTATGTCTCTGTCATAATGTTTGAGTTAGATAAGGACAGAAATATGTTTTCAAAATGTTTAGTGAACTGCCGTGTTCGCCAGAGATTCAATGATAGATTCATGAGAACTAACGCCAATGGAAAAACATATTTATTGTGATATTATTAGGTATCTAAACACTGTAGTAGTACGAATACCTGGTACTTATAACTATGTTGAACTAGATATAGAATTAAATGATAAACACAAAATTCTGGTTGCGAATAAAAGCTACAACGTTTAAAACATTGGCGATAGGCCTCAACTAAGAAAATGTATAGACTAACGTAAGTATTACTTCAGCACCACTACTTACACCAAAAACTGACAGTAATATTGATATAGGTGGGAATGCCAAATATGATGTACAAGCAAATTTTAATACTATAAAACAACAACCACTAAAGACTGAAGATTAACCAATTTTAGAACATAAAAAGATAGCTTAGTATAAAAATTTTAACAAAAATGAAAGCATCGACACGTAAACGCTACATTTTAAATGCGAATTTTAGTCATCTCTAAAAGTGATCAACTTTAACAGCTACAGTATTTAACGTGGTTGTCGCAGGGAGGTGAATTTGGTCCCAGTCTGTGCTGAGATGTGCTTCAGTGTCAGTAGCCTTGATCGTCAGGCCTAGGGATGGGACTGCGTTCGCGCAATGAGGCAGACGCAACGTCACGGGCCTCAGAAACACGAGCCCTTGAGGACCGCACATCACTAGTGGGGACAGCATCGCTTCACCTGTCATAAAAACAATGTTAAAAACAAGGCAAAAGAGTTAGGCAAGTGATATTAGAGTTTTAATTGTGCTAAGTGAACTATTCATATTAGAAAAAAGAAATTTTGCTGATAACTGTGTCAGAATTTTTAATAGTTTGTTTCAAAAGCTAGTATTAGATGTTGTTACAAATTGGAATAGTTAAGGAACTGTTGTAGATGGAAGTATTGAACTCAAAAAGTGTGCAAGTAGTTGGTAAATAGGCAACTAGGCTGTGTTGGGTGGATTTGAAGTAACATCACGACATAGAGTTGAACACACAAACACAAATCGCAACACTATAATGCAATTAGTAGGCAGGCGAAGCATGACAAACGGCAGAACAAGCAAGGCATTAGAAAGATATGGATTTTATGGAAATAAAATAAAATATCGAAATATGAATACATATAAAGCGTATAGATTGAAACGAACAAAAATAGACGTCATTGAACATTTTGTACAGTGCACAAATATTGTAACATTTGTTAAAACATACAATCACGATGGATGTAAGTAGCACAGTCGTTGACGTCTTCGCTCGTCGATCTCTAAGTACGAGTGTATTGTGTTGCAGAAACTGCGCAAATATAAATACGATACATGTTTTATACAACCAATGTTAGTCTTATAAGTTAGTTAATAAACATAATAATAATTGATGAATTCGATGTGATTATGAAGCTTCTATAAATCATGTGCATGACTACAATTTTCTTGTGACACAATATCTAAATACGAAACCAACCGACTAATACGTAAAAGGTGCTAATTTTAATAAAGATTAATAAGTAGATACAAATGCTCTTCATGCAAGTTCATGCAATAAATATTTAAATATACACAGATATAACATAAACCGTATATAAAATCCAAACATCGAATCTAATATTCGAGAGAAAATTTCGAACAACAATCACAATTCCCAGTCCTTGTGCAATATTCCAGTTTCCAATCCATTCGCAAATATTAAATGCCAATTAGTATGTGCAGACTACGACACTACAAGATTTAACGCGTGCTTCGTTACAAAAGCCTTTACCGTTGTCCATATCGATGGGAGGTCCCCCCACTCGCTGGCTCAGTCGCGGATCCGACACCGTAAAGTAAATCTTTTGCTTGATTCCTGGAGCTATCGCTTTTGGGGGTATTATTAATGAAACGCCCCATTGTCTATCTTCTAACACCCCTCCTTCGCTATCAAATATTCCCCATGTTGTATGCGGTCCGTCAGGTTCTACCTCTGATTTATTCGCAGAATCATTAGCATCAGAAGTAGATGGTATCATTGTAGTATTTTGTTGTATGACAGTAGTTTCATTCTGACTTGAGGACATGCTTTGTGAATTCTCCCCGCTAGTTTCAGGACTCTTCTCCAATATCTGTTCGCAGAAGGTTACACTTCTGCTAGGTTTATTATTTCGCTCTAATAAATCCTGTGACGTGTAAGGAGTGCTTTGCGGTTTACTCTCAAAGTTCATACTGCATTCCGAAGCATAATGAGTTTCCATTGATGTAGTGGATTCATAAGGCACTGGGGAAGTGGTTACTTTCAGAGCATTAGAAATGTGATCGGCTTTCCCGTGTAATCTTGGAGCATACATCGGTTCACCTTTTAATATACTCGATTCTAAATTCTTTGATTTTTGTTTCTCCGCATCTGTCTTTGATTCTGTTAGTCTGAGTTTCGAAAAATCTATTTCTTGGAATGTTTCACTTTCAATGCCGCTCTCGGCTTCCGACTTTGTCTGATACACAGGTTCTCTTCGAGACAAGTGATTGGCATCACCTAGCTCATAGGGGCTACTTCTAGCACTAGTACTAGTAGCACTAGCAGCACTACAGGCACTGCTACTACTACCCTCTTGTTCTTCAGGTTGTGTCACTTCTTTTGTTTCCTGGTGAGACTCGTAAATAACACTCTCTTTTAAATCTCTTTTCGATACATACAAAGGTTCTCTAATCTTAACTGAATCACTTTCATTTGCCTCCTTTCTAGTTTGATAGATCATTTCTTTTTTAGCCTGATTCCTCTGTTTAATTATTTCAAGCTTTTCTTCCAACCTTATACTGTAACTTGATTCCTTTTTAGCCAATAAAGCTGCTTTTTGCGATAAAATTTCTTGTTTGGACACGTAAGTACATTCTGCAGAGGCTGGTCTTACATCAGGTCTCATGTCCATCATATCATGACGAGTGCCATATTGTGTATCAGAGCAACTAGATTTAACTTCAGCTCGAGTGGCGTATGGTGATTCGGTCTGACCCAGCCTGGCCATCATCTCTGTTCTGGTAGCGTATGGAGGCTCACTCATACATTTACTCATAGGAGAGACCCTACCAGGGAAGTTTACTGGTGTCTGTAATCTCCTGTCCGGCCTTACACCATAGTGATTCTCATTCCATGATGTACTAGGTGGCGGATCGTATGTCCGTTTGCCATATAAAGGTTCTTTAGCAGATGTGTCCATTCTTTGCCTTAGCATGTCTTCTTTCGTGCTATACGGTGATTCAGAAAATCTTTGTCGTAACATTTCTTCCTTAGTCGCATATGAACTGTCAGGGGTTAACCTCGTTCGCAACATTTGTTCTTTACTAGAATAAGGTGATTCACTGTAAAACGAATCAGATTGCTTAGATATATCTTGTTTGTTTGTGTAAGGACTTTCTCTCATGCATTCTTCCCTAGACGAATATGGACTTTCTCTGACACATTCAGCTCGAGTGGCGTATGGACTCTCTCTTATGCATTCATTTCTAGTAGCATACGGGCTTTCTCTTACACAGTCAGCTCTTGTTGCGTAAGGGTTCTCTCTTACACATTCAGCCCTTGTTGCATAAGGGCTTTCCCGAGCGCATTCTGCCCTTGTGGCATAAGGGCTTTCTCTGACGCATTCAGCTCTTGTAGCGTAAGGGCTCTCTTTGATGCACTCAGCCCTTGTTGCATAAGGTGGGTCCATTAACGGCATTCCTATTGTTTGCTTATTTCCGTATGGATTTTCGAAACTCTGGTTGGACATTTCAGATCTGCTTGCGTAAGGATTTTCTGTAGAAGTATCATATACAGAGGTATAGGTTCTTCGAGGTTTAGGTATAGGATCATAAACTAAATGGTCTTTACTTTGGTACACTGGTTCTGGAGGTAACGGTTGTGTGGGGTGAAATGGTTCGTGTTTAACTTGTTGCTGTCTTTGGTAGATGGGGTCTATTTTGGTTATCATATTAAAGCTGGGCGACTGTCCGTAGATTCCTCTCCTGTTATATTCTATGAGAGAGTTCTGTCTACGTAACAGTGGGGTAACTTTCGGTTCTGTTTCAATGTCGCACATGGAATTCTGTCTTCGTAAACTCTTCATCACTGGTTTAGCGTCATAATCTCTGACGGTACAGATAGATCCGTTTCTTTCATCGCAAAACGAAGTTTGTCGTTTCAAAATAGGTTTCAAAACCGGTTTCTCACAAGAGGACGAGTTGCTTCGTTGCAACATCTGATTTCTTATTTGCTGGTTCCTCATGTGTATGCTCATATCGCTCAGGTCAGACTTCTCTCGTCTTAACATCGGCATCTGTGGCACGTTGTGCCTCTGTTGCAAGTCACTTTCGCATAATGACTTTTGTCGAGACACCTTTTGTGAATTTTTCGTTTTCGAACGGAATAGATCAAGGACGGCGTTTTTAATGAACGATGGCTTTTTAGATAATTTCTTTTTAGTTTTTGGCGAGAACGTCTCGTCGCGCTCCACGCTCGAGTTCATGGCATCTGATGAACTGCGGACACCCCCAACCAAATTCCCTCTTAGTTACTCAATGATAGATTATCAGGACATGTCAGATTGTTCAACATAATAAAGTGGTAAAGTAAATAATTAAGAAGCTACTAAAATAGCAAGTCTAATAAATGAATGGAACAATATTGAAATTTCTGAGATGTCCAATGAGCATGACAATTTTCAAAAGGTGAATTTTGTGATTCTAAAAAAGCATATTGAAATAATGATTAGGAAAAATTATAGAAAATATGAATACAGACGAAACGGTAGAAAAGAGGTAAAGAAAAGGAAGAAAAAAATAATAATAGTAAAATCACAAGAGGTACATATTGAATTGAATAACAGAAAGAAAACAGAGAGAAATGTATTAATTCAATATGCTTTTATAACAAAATCAAATTGCACTAAAATGCAGACACGCACTGCCAATAGAGTTTGTTCCGAAACAAACAACTAGATACTTCTAATAGATTACAATGTTATTACAATTTACAGTCTAACGCCCCGATATAGAGATATATGTTACAAAATATATGTTTATATACCACATACAAAACCATTACTAATACTGTGGCCCGTCAAGACATATGTTAGTTCGTTTGTGAAGCGATTGGTGTTTGCATGTTAGAGCAAATTGTACAGGGGCTAATAATAAAACTTAAGAGAAAATGAGAAATCTTAAAGAGATTTCAGAAACATGCATTTTTTAGATATTTTCTTTATTTTTGACATGTTTTTGTGAGATTGTATAGTTTTTAGGAGTAGTGTACGCAGATGAAGGTGCTGTGTCTTACCTTAGGTTATGCATATGTTGTGGTTTCCTATACAGCTCGAACGCTGAGCCACGTTGTTCTCTACTGCCTGCTAAATCTGGAAAAGTGTATTGCAGATTGAAGCAAAGAATAATTTAAATCGGTTCTCCTCGACCTGTAACTACTCATTTCTCAATTTAAACTGTCAAACACCGAGCGGTCACCGGTGACCGCAACCTATTGTTCTTTAATTGTGTCTATAAAGACGGTACTCAACGAGTTAAGCTCTTCTAGAAGACGAAGACACTTTTATTCTTTTTAGTTTTGTTTCCATAATATAAAGTTCTATGTCTAAATACAACATTGCTCCAAAAAGCACCAACACTTTTAGTTTCGAAAACAAATAGCAGAATTATGTTCTGCAGTAATTAAAGAGATAAATATTTTATAGAATTATTTATTTATTTATTCCACTTACATTTATCTTTACAGGTTAATGCCCCTTCTATAGGATTAATGGTCTATTTATTTAGAGATGAGTCAACATTTTTAATTAACATTATGTATCTTCGACTCACCTATGAGATGTGGGTTGTGTGGTAGGTTGATAGCTCGGTGGTGTGACGGGGGCCCGGAGTAGGGCGGTGACTGCGGCGGCATCTGACCTCCGTACATATTTTGCTGCAATTATGGCATTAATTGATCAAACGACTCGATACACTTATCCAATATTATATTTTAATTGTATTCCTAACGACTATACTCCACGACTGAACTTTTTGTAGGAATTTATGAGCCACGAAGGTGAAATATTAACAGTTTTATGAACTTAATTCTACCTTACTTCTACACGAGACATTCTGATAGGCGAACCCAAAGTTTCATAATTCACACTGATGTAAATGAACTATCAAGGTCGTATGAATTAACATTCATTATACAATTTGTCATTATCATTTCACCCACGGCTTACCCACAACTGGGTCCCTGTAGAGAACGTGTGCTCTTATAATTCTTGGTTCTGTCGTTATCCTTATAAACTTATAGATATAGAACTTCTAGAACTTACGAAATGTGTACCTAATTGTAATATAAACCTGTTAGTGGTTACTGTACTTTCCTCATTTAATTCTATCTTTTATTAACCCACGTAATCATAGATATAATTTTAATATTTCTGTGCACATATTAGACTTGTAATGTCAAAATATTTCTGGAAGTTTCTACTGTGTGCATGAATACAAACCTGTTGGTAATTATTGTGATTGTGCGGCCTGTGTGGTTGTGAGTGCGAGTGTTGGTGCGAGTAGTGCGGGGACCCGGGGTACCCGCCCGGCGCCGGCGGCCGGGGCCCGGGGGGACCCGACGGCGGGGGCTCCATACTCTGTACGTGCGGGAAAAAAAAATGTAGTGCTATAAAATTGTGTGTGCGCTAGAAAAGTGTTGGTGCGACACTCAATAAGAAGAATTCAACTTAATTACTTCAAGTTAAGTTGTACAATGCAGAAGTAAGTGCCAGAAAAAGTCGAAGGGCCGATATTTCAATCATCAGTTAATTTTTAACTGTAGAATAAAATTGACATTTTACAGTAATTATTATGGAAGAATTGTCAAATGTTCAAAGTTATTCCTCAGTTAAAATTTATCTGGCGTAGAAAAAATCGGCCCTAAGTAAGAAAAACTACGATTTTTTTACTTTGATGACTGCACACAACTTATTTAAAATTGATATTAGGTTAGGTACTACAGAAACACACACACACTTTAGTAGACCACAAGTTAACAACAATTAGAAATAAGTATCTGAATATAATAATTTCTTACCCCATTCCTAGGATGGTGTGAGTTGTCAGGCGGCCTGTAGTGCTTGGGTTTGGGCGGTGGGACAGGTTTGTACGGCGGTACGGGAGCTCCGCCGCGACCTCCGTAATCCGCTTGAGATGCAGAATTTGTACGCCCACTGTTCGTAGTGAAAAATATAAATGTTTAGTATGCTATCTTTTATTAGATACCTGCCATCCTCATACAGAGTGCCAAGCACGAATAACTATCGCATTCGTAACGTAATAGTACCTAGCGCGTTCAGCGCTCGGATTGGTTGGTTCACTGGAGCCGGCCAATTAGAACTCCGAACGCGGTCGACACTCTTACGTTACGAATGCGACTCAGGTATCAAAAGTGCAATTATACTCTCTTGACTGTTTTATTCGCGCGACTGTCAAGTAAAATATCTCAAGTATAATGCCAGTTAAATCTAAAACTATCCGAGTTTTAGTTTTTTAGGGTGGCTTACATTATAACTTTTTAGTCCCCAAAGGCATATACAGAGAAAATGGTTATACCATTTACCGCTGTTCGAGTCATTAAGCGTTCCATTACCTTTGCCTCTGCTTAGCCAAAAGAGAGACATTCTGTATAGCAATTACAAACCTGTATTTGGCATGGTCATTGGTTGGCACGTTGGGTAACGACGGACCTCGCGCGTGCATCGGCGTGTGAGGACTGTTCCCGTTCATGGGCGGGGGACGACTCGTTTGAGGACTTCGGTACTCGGGGGGCCTGAGGACAAGTTACACAGTATGATCATCACATCAGCCACATGACGTTCAATGCTGTACATAGACCTAATCTAATGACTAACAGACAGACTGGTTGGAAGCAATCTGCGTCCAGTGGATATCCGCGACCTTATGCATGATCACGTACAATACGTAACTAAATACGAGATTACAGAAATAGGTAATGATGCTCCCTCGCCGGGAGCATTCCGAGCATTACGTGTAATGTAACATATTGATTCGACTTGCATTTCATAGCAAGATGATGTCAGACGAAGCGGGCTGGCGAGGGGCTGGGGGAAGTGGAGCTTGATTATTAGCATTGATGTTACAAGTTGTATCATTAGGTACATACAAGGTGCGCATTGTAATGCTCGGTTCTCCTCCTTCACTGATGTAATGCTAAGATCTGTAACGTCACATTACACGCGAATGCTCCTGGTGAGGGAGCACCTTGAGATGTATAATAAGTAGTAAATGAAATAAGTAGGTACTTGTAGGATGTTTAGGTCGGTATTGCAAAAGTAGATTTGTTTAGGATTTTGAAAAGAAGAGAAGAAAGACTTTTCATTAATTACACATAGGTAGGTACAGTAACTTTCAAAACACTACCACGTTTTAATCAGGACAACTAATAAAAACGAATCCATTCTAAAGATCAGTATAGGTAAGGAAGGATTGTCGCGGTGGACCGGAGGTTTAAGGTTCGAAATCTACCAACGGCAAGTACCAATGTGACTTTTTCCGAGTTATATGTGCTTTCTGAGATTATTTAGACACCACTGACAAACGGTGAAGGAAGACTTATAATTTCTAATTATAAGTTTGATTACAAACTTGAGCAAGCGTGGTGATAAATGCACAAACCTTCTTCATGTGAGAAGAGGCTTTGCTCAGCAGTGGGCATTTATAGGCTGTTGATGAAGGAAGGATTATCTACATATTTATACATACTTTTTCTTGTACTTCAACATTTTTAACACTAACAATTTTCTGTTACAAACATCACTTTTGAAACACAACACAAGGATTTTCTCTTGTGTTCACACTGATTCAACAAACACATATCACTCAGACCCGGGAATCACAATTTATAATCATACACATCAACAATATAGGTATTATATTAGCTTTAAACTGTCAAACACCAAGCGGTCACCGGTGACCGCGACCTATATTGTTCTTTAATTGTGTCTATAAAACCGGTACTCGACGAGTTAAAATAAAATAATATCAGGCACGTTCACTAAAACCTCTAGCCATATACATACATCTGCTCAGTTCAAAATCTAAAAGGACAATGCTAGCAAACTAAATATCTGCAGTTTAAAAGTAGCCAGCTCGCTATTCTATTGTCCAAAGTCCCTTTGTAAGGTAAGCATGGTTGACTCTTGCCGTTTTTGGAAAAAAATGTGTTTTGTTGTTTTTTTTTGGGAGTGCATCGTATTTATATACGTATTTGTATTATGTTGTAAATTCTTGTGTAGATAGTAAACTTGGACAGGTGTGGATCTTTAGAGTGGTTAGTTTTGAGTTATTGGGGATGGATTTAAATGTAGTCCTTCCTTTTTTGTTAGGTATTTGTTGGTAGATTAAGCAAGTTTATGTAGGTAAATTGGAAATAAAAATTATTTATGAATAATCTAAACAATTCCTTTTTTATTGACGTAAACTAAATCATAGATATGTTTAATTAACAACTCAATGCTAGCCTTTGGCTTGGTTTTGATCGGGTGCTGATCTCTAAACACCGGTGGATTTTTTAACATAACATCACGCCGTTTATCCCCGAAGGAGTAGACAGAGGAGCACATTACGGCACTTAATACCACTGTACAATGTAACACCCAATTTTCACTATTTATGTTATGAGTCCCATGTAATAGGGGGTGGAATTTATACCCAACACAAAAGGGATTATCCAATTCGGTGCAGTCCTTCAAGAGTTATGCGCTTACTTACGTTTTGGAGATCCATTTCTATAATAAAATAGATACTGACCTGTAATTATTATCTGGACTTCTGTAATCGAGTGAGTTGTGTTCATGTGAGTTGGAGTTACGTTGCGGACTCTGTGTCATGTTGCTCTGTGACATCGCCGTCGGGTTCGGAGGCGGGGGCGGCTCCATTTTGTTACTGTTAATGAACGAAATAAATAATAAATTGTAAGTACCGGAATTTCACATCCATAGCGCGTGACAGTCTACTGTTATATGGGCCTCCTCTAAGCGGTGAGAGCCAGACTAACCAATTACCCCTTTATCTAATCTCCCCAATCCCTGAATCCCCAATAATCCTCAAATTCCTAATCCCTAAAAGGCCGGTACCTAAACGAGCCTGTAATTGTAACGTAACGCCTCTGGTGTTCCAGGTATCCGTAGGTAATTGCTTACCATCAGGTGATCCGTCTGGTCGTTTCCCGGCTTATCCCATATTATTTATGGGATAAGCCGGGTTTGTTATAATATCCATGCCTGATAAGCAAGTTGGAGGTTGCGGTTTAAAAGTTTTACGTTTATCATGGCGCTGTTGCCTGCTCTCTGGCTAACATGGATCTCCAGATATAGTTTAGTGTATTATTCCCAAGGTTACAAAAAGGTAAATACTAAAATTATCTAGGAAGGAATTAGTTATTGAATAGAAACTGGGATTTTTTTTTATTAGTCAATAAACGTACATAACATCACGTCGTTTATCCTCGGATGAGTAGGCAGAGGTGTACATTACGGCACTTAATGCTGTAAAATTATAATACCCAATTTTCACTACTTATGTTTTGAGTTCCGTGTAATACGGGTGAGCGTATTGCCATATACTGGACACAATTCCAGACTTCGTGCTACCACTGATTTTTTTTTCAAAACCCAGTAATATTTTGCCCGACCCGGGAATCGAACCCGAGACCCCTTACGCGGCAGTCGCACTTGCGACCACTTGGCCAACGAGGCTGTCAATAAACGTCTTTACTTAAATAAAATATGAAGGACTGACTGATAACAATAAGTCTCTTTATGATAGTAAAATAATTCTTTGTTAAATGAACAACTTACATAGAAGGTGGCGCTACTTTGAGGTCGTCAGGCGCATTAGGAGGCAGCCGACCCATACCTGACCCATTGTTTGTCGTACCAGTGTAGTCGTACGATGAAGTACCGTCGTATGAACTCTGCTGCAAATGTAATGTATACAATAATGTAAGATATAAATACAATATTATAAAATAATCATGGGCTATTTGTACTAAAAGACCAATTTTTTTTTCTATAATATTTGGCGACAGATTTGTTAAAGGTTGAGTAGAAAATGGAAGATTTTTTAGCAGCTAGTATATTAATGTATTAATTCTAAATAGTTAAAATTTTATCATTGTACATTTTAGGGGGGAAAAATCATCAAATTTCTTCTCCCGCCTAGGTGAGGTGGGAGGGAGTGTCAGACTCTTACTGACTAAAAACCACCCCGTTCCTACTCCTGCGCTTCGAGCCGGAGCCCCGGTAACCCGTTAAGTTCTCCGTGGCTCCGTACATTTTTAGTGGTAGGTACCCAAATTAGAACGTAGGTTACAAGTTACAAGCAGATACACGATATCCTTCTTTAGAACGAGTAATTTATTCTATAGTCTACTTACCGGGTTAGAAGGATGTCGATGTCTGTCCAACGATCCTTGTCCTTGACTAGGCTGTATGATCATACTCGTTGGGCGCGCAGTGTATGTGGCCGCCTCATCACTTCCCGGGTCTTTCGGAGGACCAAAGAGACGCTCTTGCGCACTCGGTCGGTTGCCCTGGGGAATAGAGAATGATCAAATAAGTTTCTAAATCTTACCAAGGAACATTGTTTAGAAACTAGGTGTATAAAATTGCGATGCTTAGGACCAAAATGAATTCGCTTATAAGTTGGTCCTTCTAGGCGGAATGTGTGTGTAATAATGTCTTTATATCAATTTCAACCTGTTTAGTACGCCAAATAATGTGTAGTAGTCTATTTTATGTTTGCATGTGAAAGCTATATATTTTCCGTTTCCAGTTTTAATATAGTTGGTAACAAACTTCAAAGAATACTAATAATTTTTGTGCTTAGATCCTGGCTTTCTGGAGTTGCACTAGTTGTCAACAAGTGGAGAGCTTAAAACTAAAACTAGTAGAACTTTTCTCAGTATATTCACGTGAGTAACCCGCGATTTTACTTAATTGAGTATGTCTCACGATAGTTATTATATAAAAACAATGTGGAGAGCATGTCTACATTTTGGTGCACCTACCTAAATAAGTGTGTTTGTGTGGGTTTTTATTGGTTTTCTACTAATACTTACAGGTGTATTATGTCGAAGATTATGCGGCGGTCGTCCGGGCGGTGGCGCCGGCAACAGTACTCCGCCGGCCGGTCTGCTGACAGTACCACGTGGTGGTAGCTCTGGTACTGCCGGGAAACCAATCCTCATTATAAACTGAAAATCTAGAGGTACACCTTCAATACCTATTGCGTTACTGTATTAAAGCGATAAAAATATCGATAGATAATTCTCTTTTTCAAAAGAATATCGATAGATCATTAAAGATACTCGATGTTAAGAGAAGTAGAAGTGATGATAGACAAACCTTTACAAATCCTATCACAGAATTACTAATGACAAAGTTCAATAACAATAGCACGTTTTAACATCTTATTGCTAAAGATACAACAGAAATGGAAAAAAGATAGAAATATTTCTTGGTCATAATGAACAACTTTGAGCCGTAAGTTCTGAAACTCACCAGTTCCATACAAAGGTGAATGAGGTGGTGAGTGTGTCATTGGATTGCATTGATATGGTGGTGCTTCATTGTTGCCCATACTATGGGTCTGGTTGTGGTTCACACCATTCGTTGGGGCTCCATTCGTGGTCGCTGAGAAACCATACTTGCTGTCTCCATAACCGCCTTGCTGTATATTGAAGTAGATGAAGGTATTATAGACATAATCAAAATATTCCTTTATTGAGAATATGCTATAATAGATTTTTGACTTTAATAGGAAATAATAAAGCTGAAAATCTGTTAAATTTTCATATGAAAACGGAAATAGATCAAAATGTTCGCTTAAACCACAAAAACAGTTCAACATATATAAGAACAGAAAACACAAGATGGTAACAAATCCCTCCACTTTAAATGATAATGAATTTTGCGTTAGTATTATGTCCAATTTTACAACTCTTATTTAGGAGATATATGCTAATTTTTACATTTTTACTGATTCCATTTTACTTAAAAGGAATTTCTCATTTAGCAGATCCAATGTCGGGGCTTATGGTCGAGATAATTGATTATTTTATTCACAAATAGTGACCAGTATTCCCAATAAGGGATCTCTTAATTATTTTAAATAGGAATAGCACAGTAAATCACAAAGATGTCGAATACAAACCGTATAAGGAGGTGGCACAGCATCGTTCATATGGTTGATATCGTCGTCTCGGTCCATATTATCTTGTGTGGTGGCGATCGAAGGGTCTGATGAAGACTTGACAAGTCTCGGAGCAGGCGGGGGACTCACTTCCAAGTCACTCTCAGGACTCGAAGCATACGAGAGCCGGTTCTCAGTACTCGACGACATTGAGAACAAGAAATCGTCGGACAACGGCTCTGGCCTCTGTTCCGCCATTTTGTGTAAACGCGGCCATTTTGTTTCGTTTCGCAGCATCCGGTAGGGTGGGTTATGGAATGGGGTGACAAGACAAGACAAATGAATGATTGCATATAACACATTACAGAAACTAAAAACGGGGTTTAGCATCTGTGTATGATTAATGGTAATTTGGGTTTTTACACACTTTGGAATCGATATTCAAATGTATTTTGGTAACCAAATATGGCAATAGAACAATACTCTAAAAGGGTTTGAAGAACTAAAGAAGAATGTATATGTAATATAGATTGATTTATCTGAATATCGATTTAGTAAAACACTTGTGGTATTTAACACTGGTCAATTGTGACAGTATTTACAAAACAAAAACACACTTGTATTAAATATTTGACTAAAACTAAAAACAAAATAGGTACATATAATAAACAAAAGTGCTAAAAGCGAATTAAAATAAAGCGATCAAGCAGCCAATATACAAATAAACAAAACATATAAAGATGAAATACTTGTGCTAATACTAAAATGGTAACTTTGGTTAACTTTGTTAGTACTAAATTCTAGTCTACACATACCCTAAATGCTGTTCGGAAATAGGTTTACTGATGACAGGGTGGCTGTCTCTTTCTGCTTCTGATTTACTCTCATTCTCAATCTTTTCTATCTCCTCCAACTTTAAAGTTGGAAGCGATAAGTTTCTGTACTTATTTAAATTTCTACCAGACGGTATAGGTAGTGTTCGCACTTCACTATACCTCCCCGGTTCAGCCGGTGGTATCTCGCTACATTTACAGTTAGGAATCCTACATGTCTGCCTCAAAGGTCTTTCCAAAGTTTTGAACAAAGGCTTCGGATTCTCTTTCTGAAGCCGAGCCTTCCATTCGGGGACATCGTTGGTCTTTTTAATTTCATTGTCAGTTTGGAAGAAAGAAGCTGGCCTATACTGTTCCGTCATAGGAACCACTGAAGATGGCCTTTGAACGTTTTGTATAGGGGATTTACTAGTCGTTTCAAGGACACTGTAAGGTCTAAAGCTCTGAGGTGGATAAACGTTACTTTTTGAAAATATTTGCGATATTTCTGGGCTTGCGTTTAATGGAGTCTTTAATTTAGGATTTATCTTTCTTTGGTAATAATTTTGCCTGTCATCGTACGGATAATTGGCTAGTGTATGTCTGTTTTTAGCAAGGTAAGTATTTGGCACACTGTAAGCGTTGTTAGGCATGCACGGGGTTAGAGTTTCAGAGTAGTAGTAAGGTACTACATGATTTCTGTTAGCGTCATACAGATGGTCGTGATGTTTAGTGCTAGGGTTAAGGTTCAATGGGGGCAGGTTTTGGGGCGAACTGACGGGGCGTTGAGGAGACTGAGGATATGTGTTCAGAGGATAGGAGATTGGGTAGAAGGCTGGGTATGGGGACGGAGGAATAGGGAAGTATATGTCCGACACCATTTCAACGTGCTACACCGCCGCAAGACAGAACAGAAACGAATTGGTTAATATAAATCTTGTTTTGTGATCTATGAAATGTAGATGCAACCTCGTATTTCTATCGAGTTACTTGTCAAGTATAAAATACTGTTGATACAAGTTGCATATACATTTAAGACGCATATTAAATAAAGTATAAAGGTACTAAAGATATGGACAGCACATATAATTTACCAAATGCACCAAATTGCCTTTACCAAGCAACCATCTTGAAGCATGATGCGTTTACTGTTGTAATAGACGAACAGGTTAACATTGAGATATGATTCCCCAGAAATGTATAGTTACACAACTTACATCTATAGATAAACGCAATGAAGGGAATCGGTTTTGTTATGGAACAAGGGATCATTATATCTACTTAAACAATAAAGATGCGTCTTATCGACTAACGAAAGTAAGATCTTGTTTATTGCCTCCAAAACCTTTAAAAAATCTTAATGTATTCCTTCACTTTGGAACAATCTCGATTAAATTGACTAAAAAGCCACATTGTCAATTCTTCTTGAGACCTTGCATAACGTATTTCACACAAACCTAAGCCCCATAGCTATAAAAACACATTTAGCTCCTTGTTCCACAAACAAATCCGTCATCAACACAATACTTAAACCTACCAAAAGTATAAATATCATCAGAATTACATCCACACTGCTCACCTTAGTCTCTGAAACCCATAGTTGTTGTTGTTGCGTCCTCTGTATCAGGTCTATGAGCTTGCTGAACCACGTGTTCTGGTTGGCTTCGCTCAGTGTGATCGTGTGTGTGAACACGTGGCCCCATACTCGTTCCATGTGTTGGCATTGTTCTAGAAGCTTTTTGGAGGATTTGTGGGCAGACCTATAGACATGGTTAAATGTTAATATGATTTATAGTAAAAAAACCGTTTATTTGTCTGCATATAGTATAAAAAATTATTTTATTTTATTTATTTAGTCACAATATAATTACTTAACAACAATATAACACAATAAAATGGCACATAAAGCGAACTTAATGCCATATGGCTTTATAAACCAATCAACCTTGGTTATTCTAAAATTTTACACAACTAAAACGAAACCTTATTTTCTTTCAGTATTACTTAACCCCTGGTATGCTGGGGACGTAATAACAACAACATTCTTTCTTTATCCTCTGAGGAGAAAAGTTAGGGATTTATGTGGATACTCAAAAACTTGACTATGGGCTGAAACTACTACAGGTTCCTCGTCAAATAGTTAATTAAATCACAAAACATAGAAAACTAAGTTTACTTACTTAGGCAACCCGGCTCTGAGCTGTTTGATAATATGTTTATTATCAGCTTTTAAGAATATCACAATTGGGTAGAACTGGGCGTAGTTGAGTCTGTCCACCGCGTTGGGCGTGATGTCCAGTAAGGCGTGCTTGCCTCGCTCCATTATAGTTCTAATGCTTGATAGGCGGATTATACCGGCGGACTTCGTTTTGGTATCTTCTAGTGTGCTGTCCATTTCTAAAGACAAACCGATTGATTAATAAAGGTTTTTCAAGGTTTTTCTTCAAGTGAATTTTAAAATTAAGTCCTATAGGTACAATAATATAGACGAAAGGAAATCTTATTAAAATGATCAAGATTTACCTTAGAGCAAAAAAAAATTAATTAAAGAACTCAAAAAGTGGTCCTTCTGCAGATCAAAGGACCACGTTTTAGGATTGTGGGTGTGGACAAAAAACCTATTTATTAATAACTAATGAATATGTATGTAACAAGACTTAAAGTACAATTTCGTTTGTATGAGAATTCAATGTAAGATTTCTTCAGTTAAATATCTAAATAAAATTATTAAAAATCTAGTCATTGATGTAGGCCAATTTGGAAATCGTTGGCAGAAACTAGTATGAAGATGATTCACATACTTGGTGATGAGAATTTATCCGGGCTCTCAGTGAGCAGTCGTTCCCTGGCGATGTCTGCGACGGCGCCCAGTACTATGACGGGGCGAACGAACCCAGGCTGCTTCAGTACCACCCGCTCGTACGCAGGGAACTTACTGATACTGTCTGATAGAACTACTTCGTCCCAGTGCTCCTGTAATACGATTTAATTAATTATTAGTTGAAGATATAGTTATAAAAATAATTAGTAGTTAATAATAATTGACTGCTTTGTTAGAAGTTTTGAAAGTCCAAATACATATTATGTCATTCAATATAAACTATCCTCCATTCCTCTCCCGCGGCCCCTAGTCCCCTGGACATAATCCAAAAAATTCGGCAATGCACTTGTACTTCTTGGTATTGCGGATACCGGCTTACCATTAGGGGGCTCTTCTATATGTTAGAATTTTTCCATAAAAAAATACTATCTACTGCAACCAGTTGAGACCTCAAACATTCTTAAGGTAAATGCGTCTTGTAATGTAATAAAATATATCTTACCTTGCCCAAACTCTTGCTACGTCGATGCGTAGAGCGACGTCTTCTAAAGAAGTTGTGTTTTCCATCGTTGCCGCTCATCTCCTTCTTTGTAGCGTTAAATTGCGCTGTTGCCAGCTCTTCAGCTCGCGCCTTGTTGGGAATAGTGCCTTTTTGGACTTCTTGGTTGTTGCGTCCTAGAAATCAAAATTAAAATGCTAAATATACCCCACATCATCAATTTTCTTTGTTATGATCCTTTTGTATAACCAGAACAGCAACTTTTTATAGAATCAAAAATAGAAGGACAAATCTGGTCCTATAGGGCACCAATTTTTCCTTACATAGCAATAAATAAAAGGACATTCCATCAGAACTTCGGATCAGATTAACATGTTCCTGGTAAACAGAAATTCTCAAACATAACTCTAGAAGAGAAACTGAGTTTAAAGTGATCCCTTACCTATCCTATAAACCTGCCAGGCCCCCACAGTGCCGTTGTGCAGTGTGTCGACGACATGGAACACGTCTCCACATCGGAACGACATCTCGCCGTCCGTCGGCTCCGTGTAGTGGAAGTGAGTCTTTATGTGGAATGAGTCACCCGCTGAAATCAAAAAATCATTTTCAGTTTGAACATCATCATCGTCATCAACACAATCAATGAGAGTGCGAGTCCTTTGTTTTTAATTGCTGAAGTGAAGCTAAGTGGCATGGCATGGCCATTAACCATGACAGTAAAGGACATAGACGTTAAGTTCTGTATTCTGCGTCAACGACAAAATTGATTTACAAAAACAAACTGCATGGAAAATTTATGATACAGCTTAAAAGACAGAACACCATAAAACTTATTTTTTTATTTATTTACTATTTAACACTACTTTAAACCAATTACATTAACATACACAAAAAGATATTAAATAGTTACAATATGAGAAAACAAATAAAAAAAGGAATTTGAGTGTTTCAGAATAAGGTCAGCAGATGATATTTAGTGGGATGCTCATGAAATACCATTTACAAAAAATGCATTTCTACTCACGCATTTGTCCACTGGCAACAGCATTGTATTCATCAGGAGAATGTTGCACTATGAGGTCGATGCGCTCCTGCAGGCTCAGCAGAAAGAGGACGGCTTCTTCCCGAGTCACTCCCTTCATCTCCATGTCGTTCACCTGTTCAACCGCACAAAACTAGCTCTCAATGTTATGTTGTTCAATATTAACTATATTATTATTTACTAAGAAAAAGAAAATGATCAGAGGTGAAAAACTAATTAAACACCATTAGGTCTTAGGTTAGGTCATCTAGTTTAGTTTTACTTCCAAGATAAAAAAAAGTTTTATGGAATAATTTGCACTAAAATATTTTGATGTTTTTTTTTCGATCTGAATTTCTGGTTTCGGTATTTTTATGCAAATCTTTCTTTGTTTTTATTCAGTCATGTCTAAACGAAACAAGATCTTTTCTTGTATGTAGCATAAATCAAAATTGATATCAAGAAAAAATGATATGAATAATTGTTTATTAAAAGGCAAAAAACCTTAAAATGTAAACTCAACATGTATTGAAGTTGAAAAATTCAAATATTTACAAAGAAAACTGCATTAAACACATACCTTAAGTATTTTATCAGCGGGTTGTAGTCCCTGTAACGCGGCCGGACTAGTGGGTTGTACACCGGACACAAACACCCCGGACCGGTTCCCGCCACACAACCGGAGACCCACAGAGCCCTCCTTTTGGAAACTTATCAACCTTGGCTCGCTCCTAAAATAGTAATATTAAAAAAGGGTAAGTTTTGACCGTAACTTTTTGTTGGAGTGTGTATCTTCGAAACATAATTTAGTAAGATATGATGCTGGACGATTTTTTATAATTTCAACCTCTTTAGGCCCTACTTTGAAAAACATGTTGGTTATTATTTAATCAAATAAGTTGCTAGTCTAATTAACATAGGTAAGCCTAAAATATTGTTCAACTTACGATGGTTTATTTCTTTGATTATTCATTGCTTCGTCTTCATAGAGTTGTCTTCTACTGCTGTAATAATCTGTAACATGAAATTATTGTGTTTAATAATTAAATAATTTACAATTTGATCCTTTTATATTTTTCTCTAATAACCCCATTTATATATACCATACGCTTAATTTAAGTGGTCCTTTTGGTTTCAGAATTTGGTCCTTTTTGTGGGATGGGCGGCTAGCGAGTAGCCGAATCACCGGTCGGTAAGCAATCGGCACCGCCCATGAACACCTGTAAAACTAGAGGCATTGATGGTCTTTTGGGATTTGGTCCTTCGGTACAATTACCTTCATTCCTTGGTGGTGGTGGTCTAGGTGGCTGGTCGAGCTGTTCGTGAGACATCGGGCCTCTTCGTGCATCTCCGCCTCTGACGGGCGCCGCCACGTACAGGTTCTGACCACTACTTGAGTACCCTGGAGACGCTTCCGCAGCTCCATACACATTGTGGGGACTGGCTTCTGTTGGAAATAATTACAACGTAGTCAGTTAAAAATCTTATTTTTTCAATAAAAGAATTAATTTGTGTCATTTTCACATTCTTTTCATTAGAGTATCAAAGTCGGGATTTTGTATTGAACGGGTAAGTACGTCTAGGTTTTTTATTCTAATTGAGCTGGTTGTTATTTTTCATCTTTCAAACTTAGACTGGTATATTATGTTTATGTGTATCGAGTCCAATGACAAGCTTGGTTACCATGTCAGTTAAAAACTGTTCTTATTTGATATCAAGAAGATAACCAGTTATTATCGCATTATTTATACCTATAGCTATCTATTACAAGATTTGGAGAGACAGTTAATCTAAGCAAATATTTGTAAAGGACATAGATTAACATAAATCGTAACACTGTCTCACGATTTGCATAAAATATGAGAAAAAATATGAGAAAGAATTCCTTGTCTTGAGATCTTGCATAAAATTTAAGATAAATCTGTCGTTTAGATCTCATGATAACTTTTAAGTGTAAAATACCAATTAAGTTTTCGTAATGATTTTTATCTATTGAATAATCTCGCAAATAAATATTTTAGTTGTAATCTATTTGTATAGGTTTTATTGCGATTTTTATGGAAAATGAGGGCTATTAAAATTATTGTGAGATATTTCCCAGACTAAGCATGTATCTAACTAACAAATAAACCAGAATTGCGTTCATGACCTTTTTGGCAAGTGATTACAAGAAGATCAGTATGTAACAACACCATTGAAATTTGACCACTATCTCGCCTGGGTCTACGCGGTCTCATGCGGTCTACGATGGAGCACAAATTATTCCATAAGGACTAAAATTCTTACCTAGACTGTTATAATTATTCTGATAATTCCCATTCGTGACAGTCTCCTCTCTGATCAATTCTCTCGTCACCACCAGATTCAAACGGTCTTTGCAGGATTCTATTAGTTTCCTGGCTTCTTTGAGGGTCATGGCATCTGTTACTGGAGTATTGTTGATCCGCGTCACCATGTCTCCTTCGCAAAGACCCTGGCCACCCTGATTCAGCTGCTCTCTGGCTCGAAGTGTCAATTCCTTCACGTATAGTTTACATCCTAATACTATTCCAAAATCTGAAAGAAAGAAGTTTTAGAAAGTCTATTAGCACATAGTTTAAGTCTCATCATTAACAGCCTGTCGTGGTGCCCCCCATGTTATTGTGGCCTGGTGGTTTAAGACGCCCGCTTCTCATGCATGAGAGTGCGTTTCAAAATCTACCAATGGCAAGTATCAATGTGACTTTTTCCGACTTACTTATATGTACTTTCTAAGATTATCTAGACACCACTAGATATGGTGAAAAAAAGTCGGAAGGAAATCTGGGCCCATAATTTCTAATATAAGTTTGAAATCGCCAAACCGCATTGAGCAAGCATGGTGATTAATGCCGTGTAAGTCCGTATAGGCAGTTGATGATGATTGAAAGCCTGTAACATTCTACTGCTAGACTATGAGCCTCCTCTAGATAAGAGGGTTTTGCCATAGTTTCCACGATTGTAGATTATAGATCCCAATTTAAAAGATTCAGGTTTATCAAGAAGTCCCGCTGCTGCATGGTCTCTCTCGAAACCCTCGAGACTGGGGGTGGCAACATTTGCATGCTACTCTAGAGTCACCACACGATCATGTCTGACTTTTAAATATTCATAGTTCACATACGCACTACTTGGGAATGTCATACGCCCATATTGGGTCGAGCTGATCAGATAGCAGCCATTTTGCATAAAATGCAGACACACGTACCTATATTCTATTAGGCACATAATACGTTTATGAATCATAAACGACCTTAATGTACTTTTCAAGCAAGTTGTTGCCAAGAAACGGTGGTTAAGAAAATGTAGGTACTTCAAGTTTTAGAAGAATGGGTATTTCCAAATTGGACAGAGGTAAGAGAATTTATATATGTGGGTCAAAATCTTTACCTTCTTTCTTTCCATTCCTAGAGAGTGACAATTTGATAGTGGTAGGTGCAGTGGGAGGCGGCGCAGGCGCTCGTCGTCGCACCACCAGTGACACAGTGGCGCCACTGTCGCGCAGCACTTGCACTGCTCTCGCATACTCCACATTTTCTAAAGGCACGCCGTTAACTGATACTATTCTGTCGTTCACCCTAGAAAATAAAATGATTTGACATGGTCAGTATTAGAAACTTGTCGTAGGTATTTCATAGGAAGTCATTAAGATAATTTTCGCTAAATAAACTAATTAAAATATTTTACGCCTCCAAAGATTATGCTAATGTAGGTAGAAAGGACTCACAAAGAATGCGGATCAAAGGACCAAGTAACATAATTGTACTCACTGAAGCTTATCTTCGGCTGGTCCTCCTCTAAGGACATCGGAGACTGCAATGGAAGGGTCACCACTGGCGAAGTGAGGGTTGTCCCTGCCGCCGGAGACCGCGATACCGAAGCCGTAGCCTGGCACCCGGTTGAGACGGACACGATGAGTCTCCCATCCTGCACTACGTTCTGCCGTCTGTAAGTAAAAGAGTACAATTAAGTTTGACGTCATAATAACAAAAATTAAAAAAAAATGCATTTTTTCTTAAAACAGGTTTTTATATTAAGAGGGATTGTTTGTACGAGAAGAAAAAGCTTGTGTTTCCAACTTAAATTGCTTGCGAGTAAAAAATATGTTTATATTATTTATTATGTGTTTATTGTTGTCATATGTTTTTTCGTGGTTCGTTAATCGTTCCTAGATCCTAGATTATGAAGACCAAAATGAAATAGGGGGAATATAATAGCATAATAGAATAACAATTCATATCAAAATAAAATATGAGTTCTATAAGGTTAAAAACAAACCGTGTTTAACAGTCTCTGACAATCGCTGTAGGTTCTAAAATAAACGTCTAAATTCAGTGAGCGAAACTTGTATAATTTTAAGGTAAAAGGTTGACTACTTGACTATAATATTATCATAACAACGATGTACTAGATTGTGAGACAAGCCTGTGTTTATGACTCGCAAGATAAACGATTGCTGTTATCCTTAACCTGGCGCAAAGATAGATGACCGAGCTTAAAACATAACTCAGTAATAACTTTAATAATAATATAGTCACAGTTCTGTTTAATGATGATACTTAAAATAATATTAAGAATTGAAAGAAATAAGAGAGAGATTAGCGTTAGTTAGTAGGTAAATGATAAATGCGAGCTGGATATTTAAGTAGCTTTTGTTCTATTGGTTACGTTAATCCGATTAAAAGTAAGTAAACGATAGTATTATTTTTTTAAATCTTTATGGTAATTTCTAAAATTCTCCTAACAAAATTGATACATGAAAAAAATAAATATCATTTGAAAATAGCATTTATTTCTCTTGCGAAGAAAGGCAAAATTAGTGTATGAAACTTTAAGATTATCCTTATTGGAAATTTTATAATCATCTTGAGTTTTTTTTAATCTTAGATCCGCTTCGAAAGTTAGTCTTATCTGTATTCTAGTCCAGCAAACGAGGTCTTGCAAAGAATTCTAATATCTAAGATAGGTACATATAAGATTTACATTCATATGCAGAACTTGATCGTTGATAGCTGTTCATGTAAGCTTTGCGCATATTTTTACAGTATATCAAGTATCGGTATGTATGTCTGTATCAGTTTAAGCCTTGAAATGTCAGAGCATATCACAAAACGAATCGACTTGTTTGCCAGTATGCAAAATGAGACTTTTTGTACTATGTTTGTTGATTACTTGATGAATCAACGTTATAATAAAAAGGTTATTGTTTTGGTCCTAGGATTGATAAACGGTAAATTGATTACAATGAGATCAATCGTTTTTTTTTACCCTAAGGTGGGAAATTCTTACTGGACCCCTTCGATTGGTGAGGACGAGACTCAGACTTTTATTGACTAAAAACCACCCCCCTGGCGCGCCGTCTCTTACGTGGGTACAAGGGTGCGAGAAATAATAATATTCTCTTGGAAACAAAAAATTCGTTTAAATATTTTTGAAATGAATCATATCGATAATATCTGTCAAGGTGTTAACAAAGGATTTCGCGAGTGAGGCGCTAGTGCAGGAATGGGCTACTCTCTCCATTCTATTTTTGTTAACGTCATTACTCATAGGTCGTTGACCTTTTGACAGTAACGTAGGCTCGTCTAATTGGTGCTAATTTTACCAATCACAAAGCTTTAAAATACGAATAGGAAATTTAAATTCGCGAAATGAAAACCGTTGAATTCAAAGAAGCTTCAGTTCTAAGTATCGAAGTTATGACAACAATGCGCATTGTTGAGGACTGCGTGAATTATCAGGCTACCGGTTTGCAAACATAGAGTACTGTTGATTGTTGATACAAATATGTAAGCGACACGGTAATAGTGTAACAGTGATCGCTTTTACTTGGTAAACTGTTTGCGATGGTTCATCAATATATATTGCCAGCGAAGCGTTGTAAATGTTTGTGTAGATAATATGTTTGCCATATAAATTGAATAGACTTAAAGCCTCAAAGAAAATATTATGTCTAGTGAATAATTGATTATATTTTAAGATCAAAACACTAGTTAAGAAGACTATACATTTATTAATTTCATGGTGAATCTAAGGCTAAGTAATACAAATTTTACAGATAAATAGAAACATTGAACCACTTACAGGTACCTACAGAATATGTATTAATATTTCATTATAATTTCAATAATAAGTACTATATCTCTAACTTTACGATAACTATATATAATGACCAAAATCATGTGTAATTTCTTAAAACACGAGAAGGTACCAAAAGACCGTAAACGGGCACCATCGTCTATAAATAAGACCCTTTCTCCACAATAATTTCACAATGCATTTAAACTATTCATCGGAACGCTAAACAATAATTTAAGTCGAGTAAAATAGAGACATTCAACGGTCATTAAGTAAAGGATCTACAACTGAGGCCGTAGAACTAACATAAACGTCAAGCTGTGATTCCCACGCCGTCGGCAGAGGCAGAGGGCGCCACTCCTTGATAAACTGCGTGAACTGTTCAATTTCAGACTCTGGCACAAGTTTCCCTTTCATTATACAGATACTGGTAGATAAGATAGTATAGTACTAGATAGATAGTAATGTATTTAAATAGATTGTATAGGTTTACTGTGGTAGAATAGAAGAAGTGTCTGTGAATTAACCATAGGGCTATAATTTTTTCTCGTCAGTTCCCTTTTTTTCGCTCTAAGTAACCAACTTTTCACATCGACCCAGGTACTTACATGACTTTTTATGAAATCTTTTATCAATATATCTTCTTTCTCTCATTTCCAGACGAATCTACAAATACGTAGATTCGTCCCAATAAAACTAATTTGCAACATACATGGATTCTCCATCTGACACATCCTGAACACTTTAACAATCCTAGTAAGGTCAGACCAATCCCAAACACAAGCTGGCTCTACACGACACCTTCGTTAAAAATGGAAAACTACAAGATTTCCCTAAGACTTTCTAATTATGGTAACATTAGAGCAACTGGTTATGTAAACTGCAGTTTCATCATGAAATCATGAACCGTGTTAGAGATACACATCTGTAACGCAGAATAATTAGTTTATTGTTGCAATGTGATGTAAGAACGCGGCCATATTGAATCTGATAGGGAATGGCAACTTCAGATTTGAATTGATAGTTAGTTGAAGACCATTATGATACTAAATGGGAAAGCGGTAAATTTGATGTTCATGGAGTGATTATTCGCATATTTAGCTGCCTTCAAATGGTTGATATCATCTTAAACGATTGCAGTCGATTGCGATCTTTCACATTTTTGTATACCACAATTGTTTATGCAAACGTGAAATGAAAAGTAGACCCTACATCGTTAGTATCATTCTATTTCTCCTATTTGTTACCTATAGTACAGACATACATAACTTCTCACCTATCTCCCATCGGGGTAGGCAGAAACTATGGAACGTCAATCGCTACGATTCTTACATACGTCTTTCGCTTCATCAACAGTCATCGTTCATCAGTCTTTTACCTATCTATAATTTTCGCAGATCACTAATTTCTTTCCTTTACAAACGCCGTATGATTTTCTTTTCCTATAATAATATTCTTGTTAAATAGAACTCCATAATAAATCATTACTTAAGTGTCCTTAATTAATCTTGCACAGTGGCTTTATACGACATTAAATATTCAATTTAACACTGTATAGTCATAACCTTGCTTCCTACGCGAGTCTGTCAAAGTTACGCATGTTTAAAGACAAAAACACCACATTCATGTACTGTTATGCCTTCTGTAAACCCACGTTAGGCACGCTTCAATGGACATTTTGTAATTCTTATACAATAGACCCGTGAAAATCGTTAAAAGGTCTCACTTAGAACTATTATTCAAAATTTGAAAGTTCATTTTGAGTAAGACAATAGATAGCTAAACTAATAAGTCATTAACCTATTCCATTAACACGATGGATTAAGTCAATTATAAAGACAAGGATTATAAAAATCCTTAAAATATAGGTGACCCATCTTTCGTTATTCGTACGCAAGGACCAATATTCTGAACAGGTTTCAACATATTCATACTGTTGCAAGGCAATTTTAATTAATAAGTGTTTGTTTGGGACCATATAAAACACAAGTCCTGAACCCAACAAGTTGCAACTTGTCCAAACTCAACAGGTTACCTACTGCCCCTACTGGTCAAGGAACGGACCGAGCCAGACCTAATTAAAAACAGGTTTTGTTGTCTTTTGATAAAATATTCAAACTTGGCATTTAATAGTACAATAATTAATATGTAACAGATATGTATGGGAACGAAGTAAATTGTAAACGATCGAAACGATATCTCTACCACATATACATTAAACGCCATGGGGGGACCGACGATAGGATTTACTTTCAGCAGTTTTTTATTGGCAGGTAAAACCCTTAAAAACAAAAAAAGGAATTTTGGAAATGGCAGAGTCATTGATGAACGAACAAAAAGAAAACAATCATCTGAACATAGTACCTCCTCCATTTTTTGACGACGGTAAAAACATATACAGCACAGAAGCTCATCAACATCAACAAATACTAGTAGATGCACAACTTTTTAATAGACTTTTGGAAAGTACCTAAGTAATATGTGTGTGTCTATTTAGTAAATACTTAAATTTTAGATAGGTAGTCGTTACCGAATTTAAGTTAAAGAACATGCCTACATATTTACACACATTTAACACTGAATGCAAGAGGTTGTAGTAGCTAACTGCTAATACTAATACTGGAAGACAACTCGCTACCAACTTTACAAGAATCACAGATATAAAACATTTATGTTGTTTCAAGTTATAAAGCTTGATTGTGACTAATTGATTATAATCGCATTATGGCGGGTTTGACTTTATCTGCTATGGAAAAGATTAAAAGATAAATTCATTTCAGCAACTCGTGATCTTTCAGCAAATGAGGGTTGGCCATAATCTCAATGCTTGGTAGACATTGGCTGGCAACGTTGCTAATGAAAAACTCAGGAGTATCCTGACTGGGTTATCCATAGATTTGTAATCGATCGTGAATCTTATTGCGGTCTTAGCAGGCACTAATTTAAAAGTGAAACCAGGCCATTAGAAACAGTCATGTTTGCCCTTTTCATCAAGTTAATCAGCAACTGATCAAATAAACTAAAAACTGTACCGTTTTAAAACAAAACACAAAATGAAACAGAAACGAATAATAATGAAATCGATAAAGATTTCACAAGAACTAAGAATCTTGCTGAACATTATTTAGCTTCGTTTAAACAAGTTTACTTGACACGAGACAACACCCAAAATTTTGCCCTTTTACGGCAAATCTGATGGACGGCATTGAGCAACTTTAGGTCAAAGCACATGTATTGCACCTACGCAAACCGAAACAGGTAGACATTATGTAATAGAAAACACATAAACTCAAGCTGTAAGTACCAATAATAATACATTAATGTCCGATTAATTTTACTGCCAAGAGTATTTATTGAACAGATTCAATTTCAATTGCAGACTCGTTATAGGGTTTTGTAAAACTAAAGATTATATTATGGCTTTAAAACTAAACAATTAGTCATTTAGTTGATGTGTAGTGCGTGCCCAATTCTAAACATTTGAAAGACATGGTTGAATCGAGAGAATTACATAAAACGGAAGATTTTTTACGACATGCTGTGTGGTGCCGTGGGAGGATCGATTTCTTTGGTCCAAAAACATGCAGTTTTTGTGTCGTTTTGGTAGGAAGTTCTTGGACACATTAGAACTTCTGACACACTTTCAACACCATCTATAAAGCATAGTACTGCAGACGTCAATCGAATTACCGATCAATGTAGTGTAGGATAGAAACCCTGAACAAGATTTAAGGGATATCGGGAAGTTAATTCAAAATCGGCATTGTGGTTCAAATTCAAAAAGACCTCAAAACGCGTTAATTTTGTCTACTACGATTTCTAAGTTTTTAAATTCAGTAATTAAGCTTCAAAATTAAAACCACAAACAGGATTTTTTAACAGACATACCTACATACTTAAAATATTAGTCATCAAAGCACCTGCATATACATGAACGCAATGAACTGCGAATTCGAGTCACCTTTGACTTTAAACTTAAAGATGACCATGATCAAGAAAGTCATCAAACAAGTCATCAAACACTAACGCATTCCATTATACAGGTATTTATAAATGACCAAGAAAAAGAAAGAATCCTGAATGAATCATTTGAGCCACTACTTAAAATGGAAGGAACCGGCTGCCTCGTTGATCAAGATGTCCCTAGTACGACTGTTCAGACATATAAACTACAAAGCATTGACATTATTCAAGTAACTTCGGGTCAAAATTCGGTATTAGATATACCTAACAGTAACACCGGAGCAAGCTTACCCCATTTGACGTAGCTTACTGTTGATATTACAATTTAGTTAGGCATATAATACCTGACAGTCAGTACCGTCTTTAACATAAGGCCACTCGGGGCGCGTGCCCAGGCCACTAGGTGCCGTAGGACCGACAATTTCTACGACGACAGACACGGTGTTATGTGTATATGAACTAGTATGTGTGTAAATGCACCCACGATACAGGACAACATCCTAGTGTGGGGCAACGTTAAAGAAAATCATTCCGGAAGAAAATATTCTAAAAGGGCCCCAAATTATTTTGCGCCCAAGGGCGTAGTCCAAGATGGCCCTGGTAACAGGTAAGTACATACATTTCGCGCCCTTTATAACCTCTAAAGGTACATAATACTCCTAGTACCTAATTGTTATTAAATATTCTCGACAAGTCTTAAGATAATGGCGTTCGACCTTTTGTTGAAAGGTGCTTTGATTTACGAAGTGGCTATTACTTTATTAGTACTTATATAGTTTGATTTTTAATCGTTTTTAGTAAGGAGGGGAATTCAAATCCAGCACTTAGATAATTTCTCTACCGACTATGTTACCTATACCTACTTCTCAGCTACCCCACCCTACGAAAGTGAGATTTTAAGGTAATATCTGATAATATTGTGTACAAAAACACATTGTTTTTTTTGTATGAGATAAGCCTGTAAACGAACAGACGGATCACCCGATGGTAAGCAATCGGCGTCGCCCATGATGGACACCTGGAACACTAAGGCGTTACAAGTGCGTTACCGACCTCTTGAGAATTGGTAATTCGAAGATTGTTTAGGATCCAGGGATTGAGTAGACTGGGTAGGGGGGATAATTGGGCCTCCGGTAACCTCTCTCACACGACGAGGTAATGCTTGTTAGACCAAAATCATCGATAAAAGTTTGCAAAATAACAAATTGACAAAACACAAAAGATTGATATGGCTCCAAAACCTAGACTACAGATTAGAACTAGATCAATAATAAGGCACTAGTTAAACATAGGTAAGTACAAACACTTTCTCTCTAATTATCTTATGAAACGTTATTTGATTAAATTATTAATTCACAACGTAATGACGATTAGACATTCAGATGACAATTATAACACGAATCACGAACTGTTACAACAGTGTCACAGTACATAATGCATATAATTTGAATAATACGAATGTTTATTTATATTATAATTAGTACGCAATTATGTTAATAGAACAATATCTTTGTAGCATGGTTGAAAGTTCGACTGTAGATTGCCGCTGAAATAGAGTTTAGGGTTATTCTCTACACTAAAATACACCTCTGTCTACTCCAATGGTAAACCAATTGCATGATGTTATGTATCAAGAAAACCTTTAAAAAATGTTTTTTGTGTTTAACTGCCCAAAAGTTATGTCTTAATATGTTAAAACAAATTGTAAGGAATATTATTAAGTAAGTAGTTAGTCTATTACCTATTTAATGACAACTACAATATTAATAAACTACCAACCTGTAATTTTTCAAATCCAAAATTATCTAATTTCATGTTGATATATTCTAAGTTTTTATAATCTAACTCACTCATTCGTCACTGAACTTTTTTACGAAACTCTCATTACAACTTCACAACACTATCCACAGTAACTAAACCACAAAAAAAAAAACAAAAGAACACAGATAATAAAAAAAAACAAAACTTTATTTACAACTTTTGAATTTAGAACTTAAATGTCACGACGGAGGTTGTATAGTCGTTAACCGTAGGCGTCCACCGGTGACGCCTGACTCACGCCATATGAGATTACGGACAGCCTTGCGGCCTTACCAAACTCCGAAGGCACGAAATAATTTACAACCGAGAAAATGAACTCACCGCGAGTTAATTTCTGTATCTAGGTAGGCGGTTAGTTTTCCAAACGCGGCTGGTTAAACACCAATAAAGTACGGTACTGCTATTCAAATGGAGGTTTTGTTTACTTGCAAGTTAGTTTGGTTAGTGCCCAGTGGCGTGTCCCAAGATAGAGCGAAGAAAGTATTGTCAAACATAAGACAAGTGGCTCTTTCACGTAAGGCGAGCGTTTTACAAGCAGTTTAAGTTAATACGTAGTTTCCACATAACTTCTAAAGAAGTTGCACTTTCCCAACTAAAGTGCAGTTATTTACACACTAAGATAACAAAGAGTTTAAGTATAAGTAAAATGTACCTACGTTCTGTAAGAATTTGTTACATTTAAGTTGTATAATTATTAATAACATCGAATGTTTACGATATACTTAGACGCAAAATCAAGCTCCTTCCTCATTGAAAAATATAAAAACATCCCTGAAACGTAAGACATAACTCCATCTAACAGCTGAGACATCGCAATACGTCTGATCTGGGACATGTCCGGGGAAAGCCTTCACCGTGCTACACAGCTAACGAATACAAGCCACTTATCGGTACTTCTAATTAAACCATTTGTACGCATCTCTCATAACTTTTCCTATAAGAAGAAATATCGATTTAGGTTTCTATCTTAAAATCGAGTTTAAATTTAAGACTATTTCGATTTTTGATGCGTATTAAAAGTGTTGTACAAAATCTGCACGTTTGAACTGAAACTACGTGAACAATGTTTTCAAAAAAAAAAAATGTTTTCGGTCTGGGTGTGATGTGCTTGAATTTGTAGGTACTTAGGTATTATAAGTAGATATATTTGTAAACGCTCCCAGTACCTACAGGACACATGAGAAAATTCTAGGGCAGTGCACAGTCCTAGCTAAAAAATCTTGGGGATTCCAAAGACCTTCCCTTTACCGTTCACTAAATAATATCAAGCTGTAATTTTAAATACTACACAACATGTTTATTGTCTAGTCTCCATTCCAGTCTGCCTTCTACACAATCATTTGCGATTCCACATTGATACAGGACTCAAATTCAATTCCATTTACACTTCGTATTTCACAAAGCTCGAGTTCATAGTATAGGAGGTATGTGACCACATCATTATTCACCCAGCGACTTAAAGCTACAAAAACCAAAGAATGTCGCTCACATGAACAAAACGATGACACCCTTAAAACAACGATGTAAAGTCTACAATAGCGTGAACTATAAGCTTCTCATCAGCTATTCTGGTTTTGTTCGAGCTCAGAAACAATGGACATTTTATCCACACCGAAGTGGTAACATTATCTGCAACTATTCAGTTTGTTTAGTCTCTGTAACTGTGGTGTTAGAGTTCAAAATCGCGTGACAAAGTTTCGTATCCTAGAATTGAAATTAATACCGCCATTATGATGCGTAGCGGCGCCTATCAACAATGTGTTATTGAATATCAAGTATACACATTTGCTATAAACGATGATAAGGGTATTTAGATATACAAATACGGGTTTTGGTATTCTGTTCGTAAAAAGAATATTAATATGTGGTTATTCTGGTAATGAGTTGGGGCCAAATTAAAAGTATCCTTAACCAACGAGCATGCATGAAAAGACTGATGTCTGTTGATGAAGCGAAAGAGGTATGTAAGAATCGTTGTAAGTCTCTGCCTACCGCTATGGGAAACAGGCGTGAGGATATGTATGTATGTATTAGGTAAGTCAAACACAATAATTCCAAACTCCGGGCGGTAAAGACAATTTTCGAAAAAGGAGTAATCCAAATTGCAATATAGGTTTTAGTAACATGACAAACAAATTTAAACTGTCAAACACCAAGCGGTCACCGGTGACCGCGACCTATTGTTCTTTAATTGTGTCTATAAAACCGGTACTCGACGAGTTAATAACTGCATTGAATAGTTTATATAAATTTTATTCATTTATAATTTCAATATTTTGTACAATATTTTTGTGTGATTGGAAATATAAAATTGATAACTGTAATGTGAACAGAAAATCAAATATAATGTTTCAAATATACATCCAGTTATTAGTACTCAATATGGGAATAAAACTGAAGAACTGTCTGTTGACATACTCATACTAAAGTGCAAAGAAAGAACAATAAATTACTTTAATAATTATTTCATTACATTTGACACAAAATAAGGAATAAATATAGTGATCAAATTCAGTGATGATGAAAAAGAAAACCAGTTTTAAAATATACACAACATTTATTAACTATCATAAATTATCAATTGAGAACCTTATACAATGTAAATATAAAGCCTATTTACCCTAAAAGGGATAGGCAATGTCTGGTTTGCATCGCTACACAAGTAGCTTGAACATTGGCATACATAGTGTATGACAATACCATAATGGTTAACTTAAACCTGTTATTAAAGTATGATAGCCAATGGGTCAACCTATCCTCCTGTGCCAAATTTCTTTATTATATTTTTGACTTTTTAGTATTGATATACTTAAAGTACAAAATCCAATAAATTAAATTTATAGATAAATAGGTTTATCTACTACCCACTGTAAATCGGGATGTGTAATATAAGCTACAAATCTCAATTTGTAGGTTATTACAGTATTTTGTTTCATCTCGAGTACCAAACATAGAAACTAATAATTATGGCATTCAGCAACTAATCTTAATTCTTATAAATATCCCTTCAATGTAGATAAATTTGTGCCCTTAAATGCTAATACTTCATCAGGATTAGCCTTAATCTTTTCTATAATAGCTTGTTTATTAAACTTTATTTCATTTGCATAATCCTGTTTCAACATTCTCATTTTATTCACAATTTTATTTCTAAGGGTTTTTTCCACATCTTGGCTTTGTATCATACTGGCCAGTTCTGGTAATGTCTCTGGTAGACTTATTTCATTATCTGTGTACTCTATGGCTATGGTTTTTGATTTTGTTTGCTTTTCACTATATCCTTTAACTTTTTTAGCACAGATATGGTTATCTGGTACTCTGTCGACTGCAACCTGCTTGCCATCATCGTCAAACACTATTTTCTTGTTTAATTTACAGTCACATTCACTGTCAGTTGATTCTTCTGAGTTTAGTTTTCTTTTTCTATGTGAACTCGGTCCTGCTCCACTGTTTAAGTCCAATAAATGGCCATACTTAGTTTCAATTTCGTGTATTACATCTTTGCACTTTTTGTACACTGTTTTCAACTCTTCTAAGTCACTTTTATCAATAATTTCAGCTGTGGCTTGCTCATCTGAAGACTTTGAATTTTGTGTGGTATTTTTATGTTTATTGTTGGATTTTCGCTTCGTCTTACTATCATTTTCTAAAGATTGTGATGATATTTCTTCAGTTTTTCTTTCAGTAGAACTACTTTCACTAGTTTTTATGAGTTCCCGCACATGATTCTTCACAATAACATACGATTTTGGTTCCACTAGTGGTCTTCGAATCAGCGCCACTTCTACAGGCTTTTCACAATCTTCTTGAACAACCATCATAAAATGTTCTGTAATTCGTTAAATTAATACCGTGTTAGAATAGTATTTATTTGTGAAAGATTATAAACACGTGCAAGCACTCCACAATCATATACGCCGTACATTTGACATTGACACTTGTAGTGAGGTGCCACGCTGGTCTTGAGTTAACAACAAGATGGCGTCGTTAGTCGAGTGAAACGAATCTGACGAAGTCCTCCATTTAGTCATAAAATCAATTTATTTCGTTTTTTTTATACTTCAAATAGCCAGATTTTTTATTTGAAACTTTAAAGTAATCGATATTATTAGTAAAGATCAGTTTTTTTCTAATCGTATGATTAACACGAAACAAATGTTGCCAATTTAAAAATAGTGTACTTGGCAACATTATATACGTAACATCACGCCACTTTATCCAAAGAGGTAGGCAGTACTTTCAGATATTGTAACACCCACTTTTTGCGTGGATTTTTTGTTCTGGGTAATAGGGAGAATACTAATTGGCCATTGTTACGTTTGGTGTTTTAATGTTATCCTTTACTTATTTTAAATGAAATTTAAATTGCATATTATTTTCAAAATATAGATTTATAGTTTTAATCCTTCAAGATTAAAACTATAATTATATATTTATAGTTTTAATCCTTCAAGATTAAAACTATAAATATAATTTAACTTTACTAATAATTCATTTGGCAATGTCAATAGTACAGCAGAATGTAGGTGGAGATGCTTACTAAAATTAAATAACAATAGAACAAAATAATTTATAAAAATTTATTCAGTACCCTTATCTTTCCTCTTTTTCTTTTTTTTAGGCACATAATCTTCAGCTACATGTTCAGTAGTAGCATCAATATTTTTTTTCTTTTTAGATTTTTTAGTTATGACAGGTTCATCCACATTTTCCACTGGTTCTACAGGTTCGGCTACAGGTTCCACAGGTTCTACAGGTTCAGCTACAGTTTCTTCAAAATCTTTCTTCTTTTTCTTTTTGAACTTTTTACTCTTTTGTATTTCATCTACATTGGAATCTGGTTGTGTTGGAACATTCTCATCATCTACAATCTCATTGGCTACTGGTTCTTCATCTTGATGTTTCCTCTTCTTTTTCTTTTTCTTTTTACTCTCAACCAAGTTTTCATTATTTTCATTATCAACAGCTTCATTCTCTTCTGCATTAGCTAAAGAAAATGATTGGAAACCAAATCCTTGATGAGTCTCTTCCTCATCATCTCTATCCATAGTTCCTGAGAACCCTCGGAATGAATAATCAGTGTTTTCATTATCATTTGTAGCATTATTGTGTATGTGAAGTTTGTTTTTTGATTTCATAGCAGCCAGTTTACTTTTAAAGTAATCCTCCATGCTACCTCCTTCGGTAAACACTTTATCAACAGGTGTGGCATCTTTTTCATCTTTTTCAGCACTGTTTTCAACATTTTCTTCAGTGCTTGGCTTATTTTCACCTTTTAAGGTCTTTTTACCAAAAATATTAGCTAAATCCTTTTCACTGTAGCGGGTTAAATCCTTGCCTCTTGTAAACTTATGGTAATGTACTCTTGCTTTACTGGTCTTTGATTTAACTTCAAGAGATACTCCGCTGTGTAATTTGTCATCTTTGTTACTATCACCTGGAATATAAGTTAGAATAACTTTTAGATTTATGTTTACTTGCTTGTTAATCAATTAAAACAATTCGTTAAGTATTTTAAAACGTTAATACTCAGTAACAAGAAAGTATTTATCAACCATAAAAAGTTTATTTTTGTAACTGTATGGGTAAAGTATTAACTTGTAATAAACACTCACCATTGGATAAATTAGCTAATAATGAATTAAAATCGTCTTCATGTTTTGTCCACTGGTCGTTCCTGTCCTCGAAACCCAATCCTCTATCATCATTCTTGTATCTGGCCACAACATGTTCCACAATACCATTTTCTTTAGCACCTAACCCCTTTCCCGCACTCCATCCCATTTTTTCCAACATTCGTTGACCAAACTTTGTTGTATCTTCGCTCCACGCATTGTTTTTAGCTCGTAAATTTATTACTTTTTGTTTACGTCGAGGTCCCGCTAACATAGCCATGATTATTTCGTTTTACAATGCATTGCACACGTGAGAGTATTTTTATCAAAAACAAAATGGAAGTCAAAGACGTGAACTACGAACAAGTTCTCGCTCTGACATCGCAGTGTGCTCGTTTACAATACGTGATTCGTTGGGAGTGAACTGAAGTTCGCGCGCTACGTAGTGGATACAGCGACGCGATTGGTGTTTCATTCGGTTACGTTGGCATTACTGACTAGCGCGGTCCAGTAACTTCCATGCGATTGTTCGCATTTTGAGCATAGATAATCATTTGCATAATTTGATTTAAAGCATGAAATATATTTGAATTATAATGTTAAACATTTTTAGATAAATTAACCGCATGATTACAAAATCAGCGTGCAATGAAATTGTAAGAAATTACTGGAAATCCTGAACTTTATTTTGAATCTATGAACCGAAACGGTAGGATATCCAGTATATCCACCTACTTTAGTATTGCACCCTATGTGACCGACTTTGCAGTACCGCAATGGGGTGAGAGAATCTTTCGAGTCAATTAATGTGTCAGTGTTTGAACGTCAGTAGTTAGAAGTCATTAGCAATGCATTGTACTGATAACTCATTATTCAGTAAAGTGACGGTTTAACCTTCTATCCATCTGCAATTTTGATTTCACTATGTATTGTTAATTTATATAGTGTAGGTTCGACCTGTTTTCTTTGCATGTGACTTCTGGGTCTTTTTTTTTGCTGTGAACTAAATCATTGTGACCAAACGGGCTTGAAAATGCTTTGAACCTAGAGTTAGCTCTAGGTAGTATGAGTTACATGCAATTTTAATAGGGTAGGTATTTATATTTTTTCATGCGATTTAGATACCTATAAACTTTTCAATGAATAGCCTTAATCATTATTTATTTTTATGTTATGTATTCGTAATATATTCATCAGTTCCAAGTATCCATTTCCGTATTAGGTATACAAAATACCGCAATGTAAACCGGATGTAATACCGTATTGCAATACAAATAATAAGTATTGCAACATAAAATATTACTTCTAAAAACTTGTATAAGATATCTGATAAAAACATGTACCTAAATGTAATAATGCGAAATCAAAATACTCTTCCTTATATTGTAAAAAGAAAGCCAATAAAAAGTTTTCAAATATTGGGTACAATGTAGTAAATATGATAGTAGCAGCGTCCATAAATCAAAACATGACTAATTACCATTCGGGTGACAGGTGCAGCAACACTAAACCGATCAATAAGCGCTGCATAGGTACACTCCATTACTACGTTCAGTTTACACAGGACGATAGCTGTACTACGAGTACAGCAGCGGTGTAGGCACTTGTTGAATAGCCATTATCAACATTTTTACGTTCAGTCAATTCTACGATGACGAAGTGCAACATGGTGATTCTAAAGTGCGAAGCGAATCTAACTCGCCGGTACAATGTAAACCGCTACAGTTGTCGGCCAGTCACCACAGCTTAACACCGAGCCATGACTACTACAGAAGGTGGGAGACCGTGGGATTGACGAGCAATGGAACATTCGGTAACTCCATAGAATTTAAAATTATGTCGTACAACGTGCGGTCACAAACCCTTCTAGAAAAATATCCGTGGCTTTATAAAAATTGTCCGAGTCAGTCTTTGTTGTGGGAGAACAGAGCCCCTCGGTTGTTCAATGACATAATTAACCAATTACCCGATATATTATGTCTTCAAGAAATAGAAGAAAATCAACTGGGCATGTTTAATTTAAAATTACATGAACTCGGCTATCAGGGTGTTTATAAGAAAAAAAGTTCAGACGCCATGAGCGACGGTTGTGCAACTTACATTAAGCAATCAACCTTTATGTTTGGAGATGTTATTTTTGTGGAGTTTAGCCAGCCGAAGGTAACACTTTTAGATCGTCATAACATAGGCATCATAACGAAGTTAATACCTAAGAGAATGCCTCAAAAAACACTTGTCGTAGCAAACACTCATTTACTTTACAATGAAACCAAGGGGATTATTCGGCTGGCTCAAATGAAAGTTTTCCTTGCTGAAATCGATCGAGTATCCTACGTTTTTAATGGACGAGATTCTGGCTATCTCCCCATAATATTGACTGGAGATTTCAACTCTAAACCCGATAGCTACGTCGTTGAGTTATTGCAAGTAGGACAAGTCAGCAGTATTGAAGAAAAACAATGGAATAACGAAGAATGGCAAAAAATTGGTATTACGGACAATTGCCAACATTTGTCGGTTTTCGTGAACAGGAGCTATGGATTATCCACCGACTTCAAAGAGCTGCATATTTATAACTCTGAATACAGTACCTCTTGCGAGCAAGGCAGTAAGCGCTTCGCCAGCGAAATACTTCATGAGGCAGTGTACTACGATCTATTCCACAGCAATATCGTATCAAATACGCTACATTTTCGAACAATTTATGAAACTAATAGGGGTAAGCAAAATCGATTTTTTGAAGCATCCGTCTATCACGACACCTGGTACTTAATTGATTATATATTTTACACCGCATGCTCTGGTTTGCGGCCTATAGAGCGGTTTAGTCTCTTGGACTCATGTGACCGCAAAAATGTTGGTACACTTCCAAGTGAGTACTACGGCTCCGACCATATCTCGCTGGTAGTGGTATTTGAATTGACTTCCAAAAAACCTTTTTAATCCGTCAATCACATTCGTGCAATGTCTATTATTTTTAAATGTTTACAAAAAATTGTGATTGACGATTGTGATACAGAATGAAATTCAAATTTTAATATTAAGTGGTGTCCTAAATCTAGTCAATCATAATTTAATTATCTTTATAATATTGTTTACAAAAGTAATCTTAATCTTTGCGATATCTTTATAAAATAGCCTGTTGTAAATGGTTGTGAACCAATGTTTTTAGTTTTTTAAGTGCAAACGCGATACGGTTATTACGTCACGACTTAGAGAGTGCGTGATTTGATGTCGGAACAAAACGTTTTTTTTTTGTCTATTGTCCGGCGTGATGGGAATTAAAAAATAGACTTAGTTTCTATGGGTCGGTAATTGTTACCAACCGCACAAAACTAAAAATTATGTTTTATTAGCGCGCTTTTTTGATTACAGGGTTAATTAAATATTTATACCTCATTAATAAAATTTTACGATTGTCTGCCAAAAGATTAATTTAAAATTTTACAAATATTTTAATTAGTTAGTAATACGTAAATTAGGTTTTGAGATTAGTCCTGTTTTTACATCGTTCTTGTTACTCAGGTTAGGTAAGCATTTTGAAAACATCATTGAACATATCTATACATAGAATCTAATATATACCTATGTGTGTTGCTAAGTATAAAATTCGTAAACGGCTGGACCAATTCGGCTAATTATTTTTTCAATCTATCTTTCAAAGATGGGTCATAATTTAAAATAAAAATTGTCGGTAAAATAGTAAACGTCTGTTGGGTCCACAGAATAAAACTATACCATAAAATTGTAAACTACACTAAGTTTTATCTACCTGCAAGTACAAAGTTAATTTTATCTTCTAAAGAGTTTATTTTTTACAGACAGTTTTCTTGTACAATGTTCTGCTACTGTAAAAGTCTATGTCAATTATTTTAATTTTTTTTCATAAGTGTCATGCGTTTGGATTATAGAATAAGGCATTCGTTACGTTTGAATATTTACTCTCTCCTACAAACGGTTAAATTCGAAATAAGTGATAAACGCAGACCAATACAGATTTTTACTACTAATAGTTAAGATTTTACTGAAAACCTGATTTAGCAGACCTAGGCTTTTACAGTAGCAATTTTTATTTACCTATAAGTATCTACATATTATTAAATTTCTAATCGTATACGACGTTGATGTTTTCATCTAAATAATTATTTGTACAGAATAAAATAAATTCCAAAAAAATATTAGTACAAAACAAAAAGTGTACGTACAATAATACATACATACTTAAACCCTACTAAACCCCAAAGGGGTTAACAGAGTAAACTTACAATAAAAATATTTTTATTTTACCGCATAGGCACCGCATCTTTTGGCGCTCTCAGTGTAGTAAACACAAAATTAAAAATTGTTCTATAGTGTTGCAACACTCAAAAATTTTATTGAGTTTCAGAATTTATGTATTTTTAACAATGGTGCGAATTATATTATTGTAAGTGTAATTTGTTAGTAGCAACTACAGAAATATTAGATATCTATGGAAGCAACTAGTGTAAGCTTATGTGATCCTAATGTTACTCGCAAGACTTAATAATGTTAGCGCGTCCCCACCCCTAGCGAATAAATGTTTACATCTTTGTATTAATCTAAATGTGTTCACTAAATAATAAAATTTACTCATTTAAAATGTTTATCCTACTACTTATAATTATTATAATCTTTTACAACTATTCTTATCTAAGGTTTTTTCACAATGCCTTCTTTTTTTGTCACTCAAATTGACGGAAAATTTGACTTAATTTCCATGCAAAATGTGTCAAAATTATGGTGTTAAGTAATTTAATCAGGGTGCCCACCAAAAACCGTCGAGTGCGGTTTCTACATCTGTTGATAACTTCAGATTCTGATTCATCAGTTTTGTGAAATATTTTTAATTTAATCAGACATCGTGAAATAAGCCGTAATGTAAGATACTTATAAGCTTATTTTAGATTACCTATCTGTAAAAGTATATGTATGACTTAAATATTATAACAATATTTAAGTATGTTTTTATAATATAATAACTATCGTGAGACATACTAAATTAACTAAAATCACGGGTTCACGGGCTTTTCTCAGTATATTCACGCGGGTAACCCGTGATTTTAGTTAATATTTAAGTAATTAGATACATAAGGTGGTTATATATCTTGTAATTTAATTGTACAGTTTTAACTATACAGTTAAATCGTAGATCCATACAGCCTACACATTTTCAGTTCAACTCTTTGCTCTTTAAGTTTTTCAAGTTGTGTTAAAACCGCCAACTGGACAGTTATACTCCGTCTGTTTAGGTAGTTAACT